GTTTAGATAGGATTATAGTAGTGTTTAGATGGTATTACACTAGTGTTCAGTCGGGATTACAGTAGTGTTAAGATGGGATTATAGTAGTGTTCAGACATGATTACAGTAGAGCTAAGATGGCATTATAGTAGTATTCAGACACGATTGCAGTAGTGTTTAGATAGGATTATAGTAGTGTTTAGATGGTATTACACTAGTGTTCAGTCGGGATTACAGTAGTGTTAAGATGGGATTAGATTAATGTTCAAATGAAATTATGATAGTGTTCAGTCTGGATTAAAGTAGTGTTAAGATGAGATTATAGTGTTGTTCAGACATGATTATAGTAGTGATACGATGGGATTACGGTAGTGTTTAGATGAGATTCAGTAGTATTAAGTTGACATTACAGTAGTGTTTAGATAGGATTATAGTAGTGTTTAGATGGTAGTACACTAGTGTTCAGTCGGGATTACAGTAGTGTTAAGATGAGATTACAGTAGTTTTCAGACATATATTAAGTAATATGGAGATAAGATTACCGTAGTATTTAGTTGAGATTAGAGTAGTGTTAAGATGAGATTACTGTAAGTAATCCCACCTTAACACTAACTTAATCCCGTCTGAACACTACTGTAATCTCATTTAAAACTCCTGTAATCCTGTCTAAACACTACTGTAATCCCATATTAACTCTAATGTAATCCAGTTTAACACTACTGTAATCCCATCTAAACACTAATGTAATCATGTCTTAACACTACAATAATCCCATCATAACAAGTAGTGTTCAGTCGGTATTACAGTAGTGTTAAGACGAGATTACAGTAGTGTTCAGTCGGTATTACTGTAGTGTTAAGACATGATTACAGAAGTTTTAAATGAGATTACAGTAGTGTTCAGTCGGTATTACAGTAGTGTTAAGACGAGATTACATTAGTGTTCCGACGGGATTACACTAATGTTAAGATGGGATTACATTTATGTTCAGCCATGATTACAATAGTACTTAGATGAGAATACAGTAGTATTAAGATAATATTACTGTACTGTGAAGGTGAGATTACAGTAGTGCTCAGACGAGAATACATTAGTGTTAATATGGGATTACAGTAGTGTTAAGATGGACCTCTGATATTTTGCTGGTATTATTGATTTAGTAGCCTGATATCGTTTACGAGATATTAAAATGTAGGAAGTAAAGATATGTATGATCGAAATGCGGACGGTGTTATCAAAGTAGCCCTCGGGTGCAACCTTCCGAACTGTTGTTAATCTTTCTTAAACATGATTTAATTTCTCTGAAATTCTTTTAAAACTTCGTTTTGGTTAACAATAAATTAAGCATAAAATGATATTGAGAAATGTGTTTTTTTTATATATATACTACATAAGTGCATGTGTAGGAAAAGTTGCTTATCCAACTAATTTAAAGTTTTTCCTTTACACACACATTTGACATAATCATAAAATGTTAAGCGTGTTTGAATTCAGTCAGTAATCGACCTAGGTCCTGCGTAATTAGAAACTCGGTACCTGGAAGCTCCACGTGATATCTTACCTGCATGGTTGCTGTGGCAATTGTTAACTGACGCACAAACATGGTGGCTCCTGGAGTTGAGATAGTTACGGACTCCACCCGTGTTTTATAGAACTGTCCGCCTCCTACCAAGCTCCTTTCTTCTACTACCGCCTGGTCGCCTTTAGGAGGAAAATCGATGACTTTTCTTGATATACTACGAGGTCGCCAACAACCACATTATCTAGTTCGTCGACTACATCCGGCTGGCGCTCAAAGTGCGTGCATGCGCCCACACAGCGCGTGTGCGTTAGAGCGCGTGCGTTGTGCCGGAGAGCTTTTCAATGAAAGAGAATTGCATGTATAAGTTTGATGTTGTTTCTAAACTTAGTTACACATTAACACAGAAGTTAGACATATGTTGTACAGAGACAAGAAGCAGCAGGAAAATAAACACCTCACTTGTTATGGACGTGTAGTAAAGTTGCACTTAGTTGTTTTTCAAGAAAACAGTTTCATCATGTATATTGGATCGATAAACAGACAGACAGACAGGTGATACATTATGGGAATATATACATAGCTATAGATTCGAGAGAGAAAAAAATAACTCGAAAGGAATTAAATGTAAAAGAAAAATACGCGGAGTAACATCATCGAAGTGAAAAACGTTTATTGCGACACATTTCGAGCAAACGCACTTTATTAGGCTTAACCAAAAGCCTGACAAAGAGCATTGGTTCGAAACGTCTCGCAATAAATGTTTTTTTTAAGGCTTCTACAGCCTTGTTAAAGGTACTTCAACGTGATAGATGGAAAACACGTTGGCTAAAGAATAACAAGAAAATAACCCGATAAGTCACATTTAAAGAAACCTGATAATCCGAGCGCTTTCAACAGCAGACCCTCCTACTTGAGGGATCAACTGGGATTTAGCGAAAAGTATGGAAAATTTGTTATATAATTTTAGAACATGACATAAGTATAGGTTTCTTTAATTGTAATTTACTGCTGCACCAGATGGCGTTGGAGAGTTAACATCACATTTCACGCCCACGTTTCACGGTCTATGTTATGTTAAACACAAAATCTACTTTCCCCCCTTGAATACTTTAACAAAACCTTTCTCACATATTTGCTACTATTATTAGTGAACTTGAGGAATTTCGGAATAATCCTGTACTCTGCGCACACTCACATCTTGCTACTACGGGATACTATCTGAAGTAAAAACCGGTGTTAATCTGCGCACACTCACATCTTGTTACTACGGGTTACTATCTGAAGGAAAAACCGGTGTTAATCTGCGCACACTCACATCTTGTTACTACGGGTTACTATCTGAAGGAAAAACCGGTGTTAATCTGCGCACACTCACATCTTGTTACTACGGGATACTATCTGAAGTAAAAACCGGTGTTAAGGTAACTCAAACTTGTTTTACTTAGCATTCACATGATAAATTATTTGTGTTAAGAAATGTTAGGTTTAACAGAATTCGTTTAACCCTATCAAAACCAGCGTTCAGGGTTGAAAACAAAGAAATACTTGGGTCCACGTTACACCTCATGGCTTCTAAGGAGAAACTCAGTAGAGATTCTCAAGGTTAACCGACAAAATTAGGCTTAATACAAGTTCAACATTTCGAAAAAAATATTATTATTCCAACAGAGCACGTTATGGTATTGTTGGTTACGTTTCTGTGATATTTTGAGAAAAGGACGGTTCAATATATAGAGTTTTATAAATTCACATTGTTGAACGTCAGAGGATAAAAAAAGTTGCAGGTTAATTTCTGAGTACTTTACCAAAGTGTCTAAAACATAGCTTATATTAGCTTTCAACAGTCTTTATTTTTATTAAACAAGATACATCGAACAGGCTTCATTTTCAATCAAACGGTATACACCAGTGGCTCAGTGGTAAGTCTAAACTCTGAAGGCTTATAATGCTAGAAACCGGGTTTCGATACCCGTGGTGGTCACAACACAGATAGCCCATTGTTTGGCTTTGTGCATCACAATAAATAGTGGTCAGGGCGCTCGACTCGCAATCTGTGGGTCGCGGGTTCGAATCCCCGTCACACCAAACATGCTCGCCCTTTCAGCCGTTGGGGCGTTATAATGTGACGGTCAATCCCACTATTCGTTGGTAAAAGAGTAGCCCAAGAGTTGGCGGTGGGTGGTGATGACTAGCTGCCTTCCCTCTAGTCTTACACTGCTAAATTAGGGACGGCTAGCGCAGATAGCCCTCGTGTAGCTTTGCGCGAAATCCATAACAAACAAACACAATAAATATACCATCAAACGGGATATACTGTATAAAAATTTAACAGGCTGCATTTTGTTTCAACTGAATAAATACGTTAGAGTACCAATAATCAGTTTTACATATTAAGTTTTAGAAAGTTTTTAACAGTGTTATTACTAAAATGGTAATATTCGCCTGATTGTAAGAAAACGATTTTATCTAGGTATTAAATTTAAAAAAAAATTACTTTGGATCTCCCTCTATTGGCTGTGAAAAAAATATTTGATAGTTTTAATATCAGCATATTCTTAATTTATTCCAATGACAGTTCTTTTTACTAGTGCTTTTCACAGTTCTTATAATCTTGCATTATTTCTACTTGTAGTCGTGTTACGACTGAAATGGTGAATAAAGGTTAAAAGGAACCTTAATGTATATTAGCGAATATTGACGAAAAAAAAAGATGCATTAATATTAGAAAATCGGCCCCGAATGGACATTCGGAGCAGAAACAACAGTGAAATTTCATGTTTTCACTTAGATAAAGTATCCAACCTGCTTTCTTCCCACCTATAAAAATTCGTCTCGAGGAACATTAAGAAACAAATGTCATTAGGCCAAGTAAGGGGGAGCTAGAGAAAAGAACACACTCATTGATTATTTAGGGGGGAAACATCGGGTTTCGGATTAGCTGCCGGATCGATACTTCAGCAGCAAACAACTTTCAAACGTAGCAGAGGCTCATGGCGACCACGCTAGATTGTACAAGTACAGGTGAGTCCCAATCTTTGTGATTACAACGTTCTGCCATGAAGACACTATGTGGGAGTGTATTTTGAATTAATTATTCATAATAATATGGTCTAAAAAAAAAAGAAGTAGGCAGTTGAACAAACAACGGTTTAGCCGCTCCGGGTCACGTGATCTGATATCCACCAATACCTGACTTGTTATGTGAACGTGAGATTTTTTTTATATTTAAGTTTTGTTTTTGTTTTTAACGGAAGCCCCTCCCACACGCTGTAAGAGTGTGTTAAGTAAGTTACATTATGCTTAACGTGTCACGTGCACATTTAACCAAGATTATAATCACTAAGAAAACATCACGTGGCATTGATAATCAGACAGTATGGTTCAGGAAAACATGGCTACTAACATTAAATTCAACGATCACATGGTCTGGGTAAGTCTATTGGCTAGAACGCTTGACTCGCAACCTGTGGGTCGCGGGTTCGAATCCCATCACCGAACATGCTCGCCCTTCCAGCCGTGGGGGCGTTATATTGTAACGGTTAATCCCACTTTAGTTTGTAAAAGAGTAGCCTGAAAGTTGTTGGTGGGTGGTGTTGACTAGCTGCCTTCCCGAGTAACTTTCGACAAATTTCAACAAAAAATTCAGGCACATTCACAAATTTTGCTAGTCCTGTGTACGTCGACCACACAATGATTTTTTTTTTCAAAAATTTCTGTTTCGTTACAAAATATTATTATAAAAGAAACGTATTGTATATGCTTACAAAAATGGGCGTGGCACTTTCTTAACATCACTAGTTTATTCCAAGAACTCCCACCCTTAATGCCCGAAAGTTTAACGTATGACATAGTTAGTTTTAAATATATTTTGCGCATAGCTATCATAATTTTGAATTGTTAAACAATTATACGGGGTTGTCTGTTTGTTAGTTCAGAATTTCGCGCCAAGTTCCTCGAGGGAGAGCTGCGTTAGGCATCACTATGTATGAAGTAACAAACTAGGGAAAAGGCAGCTAGTCAACACCACCTACCGCCAACTCTTGGGTAATTCTTCATCAACGAAGTATAGGATTGACCGTCACACTACTATGTATTGACCTACCAAAGGTCGAGCATGTTCGGTGGCAGGACTCGAACCACAGATTACGAGTCAAGTGCCCTAACCACCAGTCCATGCCAGATTATGGGTTCTCAAACTTATTCAAACCAGATCCTCTTTTGGGTGGGTGAATATTCATGACTCCCATTTGTGAGGTAACTAAAAATCAACAGAAAATGAATACGGTTTCGAAAACAAAAAAGCTTCCCGTGTAACATTGATTATTGCACATTGCTTATATTTTTTTATATATACCAAATACTAGAAACGATTTTCAAATAGAATGCCCACGCTAAACGAATATCCGGCGAAAACATCTGAACAGTTCTAGTATTTTCGTTGCTTTATTTAAGTGGTAAAAAACAAAACAAAAAAAAACTTTTTTTCGAATTACTTCGGCGTTGAATATCAAATTGTTACTAACATTTGATTTGAATCCACCCAATTTTACTGGAACATTACCGTCAGGACCATGATAAAAAAATAACGCATCTAATTATGTTCCGGAAAGTGTTTGTTTTTGAATTTCGCGCAAAGCTACACGAGGGCTATCTGCG